ATGTGTTGGGAAAATGAAAGGAAAGGAAGACAGCAAGCAACCTTAAACATTTAAAAGACTGATGTATGTATAACTGAAGCCCAAGCACAAAAATTTGTAAGTCTACAACTATACCTCATGGTGTTTCACTAATAAAAATTTAAAAAATGAATAAAAGACTAAGAATCTGGGTGAGAAGAACATTTATTATGACTTTGGAGGACTACTAGAATGAAAGTAAACTCTAAACATATAAACAAAGAATAATCATTAACTCAAGAATTAAGTTCATGACATACCACATACAGTTAAAAAATATATACAAATCGTAATACTGAGATGACTATGTAGAAAAGAGTGACCATGCAGAGGGAAAAGAATGGCTAGTATTTGGGGGATAAGAAGGATATAGATTTGATTTCACTAAACTTAGAGCTCAAGTAAACTCAAGCTGAAATAAGTGATAAGGAAATTAATATAGTTCTGGGATAGAGGATAGAGGCCTAAAGGAAAGAAACTTGGGCAGGGAGAGAGAGGGGTTAAAGCACTTGCCTTGCAGGCAACATGACCAACTCCTTTGATCTCCAGCAATATATATGGCCCCCAAGCAACAAGTACTATCTGATCCCTTAGCACAGACAAGAGCAGGCTTTAAACACTGCTAGGGGCTGCCCAAATGTGGAAAAAGAAACATGGCAATTGCCTTAAGGAAGTGGATAACCAGCAGACCCTGATTAGATCTCTTGACACCCAGAGCACAGAATGTAACCGTGGGGCCCCCAACTCCCACCATTGGTGGAAGTGATAGGTCCAGCCTGAAGCAACACCAAATTCTTAGGCTCTACATTCAACCAGGCCCCAAGACCTGAACACAGCTTGGGAGCACCCACCCGAAGTAAGGGGTGGTGGGTAAGAAACAGACATTCCATATGAAGAGATACTGTAGGGGTATAACAAATACCCTAAGGCAATAGAAACTGAGAACTAGTCTTTGGTGGAAAGCTTACCTCATGGGATAAAAGGGGATGGGTTAAGGTACTTTGAAGACAAAGTCGGCAAAACCCTCCATGACACTGAAGCTAATGGTATCTTCAAAAATGTCACGCCACTGGCTAAGCAAGTGAAAACAGAGGTAGACAAATGGGACTATCTTAAACTAAGAAGCTTCTGCACCTCAAAAGGATCAGTGACCAAAATACAAAGACAGTCAACTGAATGGGAAAGGATATTCGCCGAATACACATCCGACAAGGGGTTGATATCAAGATTATACAAAGTACTGGTTGAACTCCACAAGAAGAAAACATTCAACCCTATCAGAAAATGGGGTGACAAAATGAACAGAAAAACTTCCTCAAAGATGAAATCCGAATGACTAAAAGACACATGAGAAAATGCTCTACATCATTAATCATTAGGGAGATGCAGATCAAAACAACAATGAGATATCATTTCACACCACTGAGAATGGCCCACATCCAAAAGAACAAAAGCAACCGGTGCTGGTGCTGATGTGGCGAGAAAGGGACCTTCCTTCACTGCTGGTGGGAATGCCCACTGGTTCAGCCCTTCTGGAAAACAGTATGGACGATTCTCAAAAAACTAGAAATTGAGCTCCCATTTGACCCAGCAATTCCACTCCTGGGACTATATCCCGGAGAGACAAAAAAGTATAGTCGAAGGGACATCTGCAGTTGTCTGTTCATTGCAGCACTGTTTACAATAGTTAGAATCTGGAAAAAACCTGAGTGCCCAAGAACAGATGACTGGTTAAAGCTTTGGTTCATCTACACAATGGAATACTATGTAGCTGTCAGAAAGGATGAAGTCATGAAATTTACATACAAGTGGTACTACATGGAAAGTATCATGCTAAGCGAAATGAGTCAGAAAGAGAGGAATAGACATAAAAAGATTGCATTCATCTGGGGAACATAAAGTAACAAAATAGGAGACTAACACCCAAGAATAGCCGAGATAAATACCAGGAGGTTTACTCCATGGCTTGGAGGCCAGCTTCACTCTAGGGGTAAAGGCAGCCCAGATGTAGAAGGGAGCACCAAATGGGGGGTATTGGAAGGATCCCCCAGGATGGGAGAAGCATGCTGAGACTAGACTCTAGACCAAACATGTTGCCACTCGATGCCTCTTTTGCAGGCCACAGCACCCAAAAGAAGAGAGAGAACAAAAGGGAGTGCCATGCCACAGAGGCACTGTGGGATGGGGGGATAAGGGGGGGTGGGAGGGGTACTGGGATCAGTGGTGGTGGAAAATGAGCACTGGTGGAAGGGTGGGTACTCGATCATTGTACAACGGAAACCCAAGCACAGAAATTTGTAAGTCTACAACTGTACCTCATGCTGTTTCACTAATAATTAAAAAAAAAAAAGATGGGGTAGGAATTAGGATCAGAGGACACTGGGACAATGGTGGAGGGAGGTGGACACTGTGGGAGGTATGGTGTGGTATTACTCATAAAATCCTACCATTAACAGTACTGTAAATTATGGTGTCTAAAATACTTTCTTAAAAATTTAAAACTTATATTTTAAAAAAAGCCATCTAGGGGCTGGAGCTATAGCACAGCGGGTAGGGCGTTTGCTTTGCACGCGGCCGACCTGAGTTCGATTCCCAGCATCTCATATGGTCCCCTGAGCACCGCCAGGGTTAATTCCTGAGCGCAGAGCCAGGAGTAGCCCCTGTGCATCGCCGGGTGTGACCCAAAAAGCACACACACAAAAAGCCATTTAAGTGGAAAAACAAACAAAAGGGGCACATAAATGAAAGAGAGTTTTAAGAGTAACCGAGTGGGAAGTGGTAACAAGTACTGTAATTGTACAACCATTATATTTGACAAAGAGCCCATGTCACCTGAATGATTTGAGGACTAAAATGAAATTGTAGGATTATTGTTTTAAATGTAGTGAGATGACAAATGCATACAAGATGAAGGCAGAAAATTTCAAGACCTTTAGAAAAGATGGAACAATATATGCCTTCCCTGTGGAGACTATAAATATGGAGAGTCCTCAGTAAACTTAGAATTAAGCTTCCATATGACCCCGCAATTCCACTTAGGGGCATCTACTCCTAGGACATATTGTCCGACAAGAGATAAATTATGAAGATGTGGTATATATAAACAATAAAATATTCTATGCAGCTACAAGGAACAGTGAAATTATGCAGTTTGTTGCAACCTTGTTAGAACTGAAAGATATCATGCTGAGTGAAATAGCCTGAAGAAAGACAAAGAATTCTCTCACTTATAGAACTGGGTGAGAAAATGTATTGTAGTAAATGGGGCATGCCTAGATCACTTGTGACCTCAGAGCTTAGGGAGGATGGAAGAGAAGAAACTAAGGGGAGAAGGAAGATGAGAAAGGGAAGTAACAGGGGTATAAGAGCTGGGGGTTCGGTTATACTGGTGATGTGGGAGAGCAGTATAGCTATAAAGCCAAAGCACAGACTCAGCAACACTGAAAACATGACATCTGAGCTGCAACCAAAGAGCTTTATAATGTGCCTGTCAAGGTGGCAGGTGGGGGTGGAGGATGTGGGATGGAGTATAGGAACACTGGTGGTGGGATTGGTGCTTAAAAAGTTTTATGCCTAAACTCAACTATTAATAACTAAAATATGGAACAAGAGCACAAATAGAAGTCAGAGAGATAGTATAAGGAGTAAAGGGCATTTGCATTGCTTGTGTCTTTGGCTGCCACCCATTTCCAATCCCCACTACCATATAGAAAGCACAGCACTAGGACTAGCCCGAGTACCACCAGGTACTGTCCCATTCTCTCCACCCCCACCCCCTGCACACATACACACCCCAAAAAAAGTCAGACTCAGGAGTAGGGTTTCTTTAAGTGCTTAAAAAATATTGTTTTTTTGGTCATATAAAAATCTGGCAGAGTTTAAAGACAAAACAGGGGTTAGGGATATATGGCTCTAAAGCTAGAATACAAGCCTTGCATATATGTGAGGTCCATATTTCCACTCTTGCCACTGCATCAACCCCTGAGCCATGCCAGAAATGGACCCCACAACAATAAAAGTAAATATATGCTTTTTAATTTTCAAGGGGGAAAAAAACTGACCAAATTTTTAAACACTATTATGCAAAATATTTGCAGTGATATCTCTGAGCTCTGCATATTTAATACTCTTCATTAGTACAATAGCAATGAAGAAAACAAAGATCTTGGAGAGCCCGGCAAGCTACCGAGAGTATTCGATATGCCAGACACAGTAACAACATTTTATAAACAGGCATAAATTCTAAATTTCAAAATGGGATCCAGAGTGTTTATATTTCAATGTGCAATTTTTGGAAGGTAGATAAAAGTACTAATATATGTAAAATGTATGTCATAAATTTTACTTTTAGTATCAACACAAATTTCTACCTGTTCACATTTTATTCTTTTACATTCCCTGATTAAGTCTCAAGTTCTGCAAGGGAAGGAAATCTGAAATGCAAGATATTCATTTCATTCCTGTACCCTCACAGTATAAATGTAATATACAGTATCTGAAGGTTTTAGGTCTTTGATATTTTAACAAAGTTGATTTTCATTAAGTACAGGAATCATAAAGCCAAAAAAATTTATTTACAAATCAAGTAGTTATATCGGGTGAGAAGAAGATTAAGAGGCATTCCACCATTCAGAAGACCTGAACACAGCCACATTTTATCAGCTTCAAAGACTCTGGAAAGAAGTAACACATTTTTCCATCTGTCTAGGGAAAGAAATAGTCCTGTCTAAAGGGAAAGGAGGCAATCAGTTTATCATAACATCCCAGAGCTCATACCTACCTAGTTCAGGAACTCTGTTTAAGGAACTCGTCACTATAATTCTCTGTCAGCATAAGTCAATTTCTGATAATTAGTTTTTAAGAGAAAAACAAAATTCAAACTGGAATTAATTCCAAGGGCTTGTGGAGTCTATTAAAAACTTTTAGGGATAACAACAAAGTGTCAAGTGTGAGAAAATAATTACAAAACAAAGGCAAAAAAATTAGTTTTCAGTTTTAGTATTTATTGAAAGGTGGAAGACAAGGAAAACTCCTCTCAAACTCCAAAAGCAAATCTTGCACCTTTGCTAAAAATAAAAATTTTTTTTATATTTGCTTTACATGACGTGAATTTTTCCAAAAAGTAACTCAATGCAAATTTACCAAAACAGTGCTAATTTATTATTTACAAAATGGTATTATCTAAGTATTGAGGGGAAATGTCTTACTCTCACAAACACTAATAAAATACCTTGAAGCTAACCTAAAAAATAAAATCTTTCCTATCTTTCATGATTCCCCCAAACTTACAGAATGGATTAAAAATGATTATGTGGAACAAAGCATAGTTATGTGTGGACATATACATGTATATGTAATACACACACACACACACACACACACACACGTGTCGTACTAGATCAACTTAGTCTTTCTTTATGGTCAACAGCCTTAGTGAGAGGAATATAATGAATATGGCTTCAGTAAACTTTTCAACTAATATTACAAATGCTTAATTTTTTTGCTAGCTAGCCAGCTAACCTGAGTATGGAATATATATTACTTAGCTAAATGGGCATAAACAAAAGTGATTTAAAAACAAAAGCACTGTAGCAGACACCACTGAGTTACCTTAATTTTTTAAAAAATCTGTATCAACTTAATAATTTATGTAACAACAATATATAGAATAGATCACGTAGGAACTATTATCTGAACTGCTTTATTGTTCTGATCCAAGAAACTGGAAATAATAGCAAAAAATCTGTGTTCAGAAAAAAGAACTGGAATGTACTAACTAGAAACCATTAATATAATGCAATATTGAAATAGAAATAATTTGTGTATAACAAAGGTAGTCAAAAAGATCTCAGACTGCATCTCAAGAGGATTTTAAAATTATAACCCGTAAGACAAGAAACATAAGCATTATTCAAGGTGACATGGCTATAACTTGAAATCTGAGCCCACTGATTTATACTTCATCTCTAACAGAGGTATGCATTTTACAAAACAATTTTTTTTAATATGGAGAAGTTTGGATATAGGTTATATAAGAAACTGTGCCTAAAAGCAACCATTATGGTTATTTTAGGTATGTTTTAAAGATAAAAGTTTAAGGCTCATATATTTTGAAAGGATTCCCTAAAGACACTTTATTACAATATGACTTCATGCATCTCTGTGTACATTACTGGAAAATTGAAAAACAAACTATTACATATATAAATCTTCAATTAAAAATAATAAAATGCATTTTAGCCACATCCCCATCTATTTCTCAATACTGGTTTGTTATGAACTTGTATCTTTCTCCAAAAGATTGATGCAAATACACAAAGCGATGAGGAACAGAATAAGACAGTAATATATAAAATAGAAGTCCACTGGGGGGGAGGGGAACAACCCACAAAATTTCTATTTACATGATTATACCTTCTTTATCCCATAAAAATCCCTATGTTACAAATATATTGATTTCCTACAAACCATCAAGATTTCCTACCCTTTTAAACTGAGGGCCAGAAATGGCATCATTGCTGCAGTTTGGTTTTTTGTTTTTTAACTGTTGAAATGTCTCTAAATGAAGTTTCTTTGTAAGCAGAAGATAAGCAGTTTTATAAATAACACAGATGAGACTTGAGCAGAAGCCACTGAAATAGAACATTAGCCCAAATGGCAATGTGTGAGCATGCACACGCACGCGCAGGCACACGCAAACACACACACAAACGCAAACACACACACACACACACACACACACACACACACACACACACTTTGAAATTCATCAAAGCATGAACCCAGAATACTAAAGACAAATAAACTACATTTGCAATAAGCAGAGTTATTTACATAAGGCTACAGTAAAGAGATTTGTTTGACTTGATTACAGCAGTGGTACCAGTGAATGCAGTCTGAAATAGTGCTCACTGAGGAGTTTTGTTTTAAGTCATCTTTAGTGAGGCAATGGCAATCTGGTTTCCTATTCCAATGTTCTTTTCTAGAGCTCCTTTTGAGAAAATTCTATTTACCTTGCTAGGATAGGGACTAGAGATCCTTAGAGAGCTGAGGAAACATCCTATTTTCTTAGTTCTATCTCTATATATGGCAGTTAGTCACTGCCCTTATTTTAACACTTTGTATTTGCCTTATTTTCTTCCTGTTTGTAAGAAAACGTAAAAGCGGATCCTAATTGCTTACAAGTAAATTTCCTGTAACTAAAGATTTTTATTCAGCTGGTTTTTAAATGTATTTTAGGACTAAGTGGTAATCTGGCCACATTATTTAGAAAGTTAGATGTCATTAATGGACCTTGTTTCTCCAAACTTTCTAAAATTATTACCTAAACTGCTCTTAATATTTTAAAAGTACTCCATATTATCCAGCACTTATGCAAAATATGGTAACCATACATTCCCATATAGACACATATGTACACACACTGACACACACACACATCCTTCATAACAATCTTTAAAATGCTTGCAGTGTGGAAAACTTAAGTATTGATAATTTGAAAACTATACATTTGTAACCCATTACCATCGTAAATGGATATACCAGCAGAAACATAATAGATCAGATGATGTAACTGAATTGTCAATCTTTTTTCCATCTCAACAGAAAACATATTACATGAACCTTTATTAAGCGGCTCACATTTCAGTATAAATCACACTAAAAAGATTTTTAAAATTTATTTACACTACTGTGTTGACATATTTAAAATGGGGGGTGGGAAGATTGTATAAACAAGCTCTATGGAAAAGCCATAAATTGTCAAAAAGGAATTCTGGCTCATATTATGAAAAAAAGTATGCATGCCTGCATGTGTGTGTATATATGTGTGTGTGTGTATATATACACACACACAAACATACATGTATGCACAAACATCCACACACATACACACAGAACACACATCACACACACATAAATGATAATGTCAGCTCTGTTTTAAAACTTAGGACTCCAACTCAAATAACTTTTTAAAGAATTCTGTTTAGACCTGCAGTGTTTACAGTGCAACTGGCCCTAAGTGCTTTGATAATTCACAGTTATGGACAGGCACTGAGGAATGTTACAAAGCTACATAAACTATATTTTGTAACAGGATTTGGGAGCAAGTCTCTGACTTGCATTCAGAATTCATGAATCTTTATTACATTATTAAGCTTTTTTTAAAAAAAAATTTTAAGTGGTATGTACAAATTTAACACAAAATGTCATCATCTTTTCTATCTTGATTCGAATGTGCTGAATTATGTTGCCTTGTGTCAACCAGACTTATGAGGCTTCCAGGACACAATTCTTCCTTTAAATCTTTGTTGCTATTTTCAAATTTAGAGTCCGTGTCCATCTCAAATTCTGTGAATTGAACATGATCCAATTTTGCTTTAACATTCTTGCTATCCATATTATTCTGTGCTCTAGTCTTTTCAGAAATACAAACATTCATAGGTTCTTCCTTGATTCTTACAGATGACATAGGTTCATGTTTAATCTGCTGTAATTCGTGTGCAGAGTGAAGCTTGTCTGACAAAACAGAATCCAAGGAACTTTTGCTTACAGCACTAGCCATCTTATCAACACAAGGTCCGAGAACTGAAGATGTGGAATCTGATAATGTGCCTGTTACATGAGTAGTTGTATTCTGAACAGTGTCCTCATCTGAGTGATACAACTTGAGCCGAACATGCCATGCCAAACTGCATACAGCTGAAACTGTCTTGAACTGATGAACAACATTCCTTGGAATAAAATAAATGTCATTATCATACAGCTGAATCCTGGCATAGCGAATACCTTCTCTCCTCAGCTGATTAAGTTTTGCATCATCAACCCATTGGACACACTAAAAGAAAAAAAAGAAAAGAAAAAAAGTAAGATTTTCTTTTCACAATGAAAATTAAACTGAAAATAATAATTTAAAATATACCTGGGACAGGGGTGGTTCGTGTAAATCTAACTGCATTCTCTGAACTACTTCTAAGAAATCTTCAGCATGAAAGCAAATTACATCTTTGGTTATTCGAGGTTGATCAGGCCTAACAAAGGACATAAAATAATGAGTAATCTATATCTTATGGTCAAAACCAAGTATCTTATAAAGTGCAAACAAATGAATACTATATCTATTTTTACCCAACTATGAGTTTCAAAATAAACTCAGTTAAATCATCTCAATTTATTATAGCTGTATATAACCATACTTTTAAAAAATTAAGTGCTGAAGTTAAAAATAGTTGTAAAATTTAGAGGTAAATAAGGGAGAAAGGAAACACTTTCCTTCAATGAAAATATATATAACTACATTAACACCTAAAACACCTAAATATACTCAATGAATTAAGAAACACAGTATCTAAAGAGTGATATAATTTGCTCACTTATTCATAAATCTATCTAGTGGAAACTTCTCTTTAACCAAGACCTTTACTTCCAATTTGTAATAAGCCTGATTCTAACATAAAGTCAAGCACAGGACTGGAGACAGTTCAGCAGGCAAGGTGTATGCCTTGCATGTAGCTGACATTATTTAGATTCACAGAACTGCATATGGATGGAATATGGTCTCCCAAGCACTGCCAGGTGTGCCGTACTTCGCCGACCCCCCCCCTCCCCAACAAAAAATAAAGAAGAACAGGAAGGAAAAGAAGGGACGAGGGAGCAGGAGAAGGAATCTAAAACACTAATAACTCTTATTGTCTAAGAAAATAAAGCACAAGTATCTAAAAAGAGAAAAACCCAGAACACTAAGGAAAAAGAAAAAGACACCACATTCCTTAATACAACTTAATTTAAAAGCAGGGGGGAAGAGAAGGGTTTCCTAGGCCAAATTATATCAGAGGCGTAAAATCCTCTTAAAACTCTAATGAAGTGTTTTATTTGCTATCTTTATTTGTTTTTGTTTGGGGGCCACACCAGGTGCTGGCTCAGGTGTTACTCCTGGCTCTGCACTCAAGGATCACTGCTAGCTGTGCTCAGGGACCATATGAGACACTAGGGATTGAACCCAGGTCGGCTATGTGCAAGGCAAGTGCCTAACTGCTGTACTATGTCTTCAGCCCTGCTATCTTTAATGTTAATAGATTACAGTAGCATTGGTACAGGAGGCAAAGTATATGTTATAATATTGAGAACATAGTATGATATCTCAAAGTTATTCATCCATTAATTCTGTTCACTGAATATATTGGTAGCTTAACAATAGTCCTTTCCACGGTAAAACAAGCTACAAAAGTGATTTTTATTCAATATTTATTAGGAACTATCAAAAAAGAAATATAATTTCTCCCTCATATAAAGTGAATGCAAGAACATACGCCAATAATAATATAAAGGTACAGATAAGCAAAATATTAATAACTAATATTGTATAATAAAGTCATGAAACAGGAATATTTGTACTAATTTTTGTACTAATATTTGAATATTTGTGCTAATTACTTTGTTAAAGTACATTAAAGTATAATGTTATTGATTACTACAAATTTGTTTTTCACCCAAATAGATATGTTTGCTTTTTGGGTCATACCCAGTAGTGTTCATACCTCTAACAGTGTACACAGGTATCTCTGGGCTGTGCACAAGAGATCATGCAGTGCTAAGGATTGAACCTGAGTTTCCTGCATGCAAAGTATGTACTCTAACCTATTGAGATCTGTCTCCGCCCACCCAAAGTAAGTCTCAAATCATTTATTCTAAATGATTTGAGACTTAATGTCAGTCTCAAATCATTTATACTAAACATTGAAGAAAACCATCTGAGGACCGGAATGATAGTATACTGGGTAGGGTGCTGGTCTTGCACTCAGCTGACTGGGATTCACTCGCCGGCATCCCATATGGTCCCTTGTTCCTCATCAGGAGTGATCCCTTGAACATGAACAAATGTTCCACCCCCTGCCCACAAAAAAAAAAAATAACAAAACCAAAAAACAACTCTGAAACTGGAATTTGTGATAATTCAAACAGAGAAAAATTTGCTTTTACTGTTTCACAAAATCATTACATTTAAACCAAATTCTAAGGACATAAAAATTTTATGAAAATTAACATTTCTGAAAATCACTTTTTAACCAAATGCAATTCAATTATAAAATAATGGAGCATACACTAATACTATTCTTATTTATTTAGGTTTGGGGGCCATACCTGGAGATGCTCAACAGTCACTCCATGCTCTGCACTGAGGAATAAGTCCTGGTAGTACACAGGGGGCCCACAGGGGATGCCAGAGATAGAAACCGGGATGATCGGTGCAAGGCAAGTACCCTACCCTCTGTACTATCACTCTGGCCCTAATATTATTTTCTAAGAACCTCTTAGTGTTAGTTCAATACTGGAATTTTTTTAATTTGGTTTTGGGGCCACACTTGGTGATGCTCAGCGGTTACTTCTGGCAGTGCTCAGAAAATCATATGGGATGCTGGAGATCAAACCCAAGCCAGTCATGTGCAAGGCACGTGCCATACCTGCTGTATTATCTAGCCCCATTACTAGCTACTTTTGAATAGCTAAAATTGATAAAACGTAACAAAGCAGCTTAGTTTACAAAATATAACAATAGTTTTTTTTTCTTATTTTTCTTGGTTTGGGGCCATACCCAGCAGTGTTCACGTGCTACTCCCAGCACACTACACAGGTGAACATAACAATACCAAGGATTTAAGACAGAGTCTCCAGCACACAAAACATACATATAAGCTCTAGACCTTGGAACTCTCTCTCTGCCCCTGAGTTTTCTCTTTTTAACATATGTACCAGTCACCCTTGAAAATAAAATGTCTTCATAGAATACATAGAAAGTCAAAGAAAATAGTAAAATAATTTAAACAGGTCAGAGAAACAGTACAGTGGGAAAGGCACATAGCTGACCTGGGTTTGATCCCTGGCATCTCATATGGTCCCCTGAGCACTGCCAGGAGATAATTCCTAAGTGCAGAGCCAGGAATAACCCTGGGAATGGCCTAAATAAACAATAAAGCCATAGAAAATTATACAATATTGACATTTTATATTTTCAGAATTAAGATGGTTTCATTATTTAGAAAAAATTATTGCCTATTTAGTTCCTAATCAAATGTTTATCAAAAAATAGACTGCTTTGTACCAAAATAACACTCAATTTAAAAAGAAAACCTAAGAAGATATCTTGCAGTATGAATACAGCTTAACTGTATGTAAAAAATTTCTCAAGGTGTGGGGCTGTTACCTTAAATATAGCTGACCCTTGATAATGGGGGTTGAGTATAAGATTAAGAGAGCAGATGCCTATATAGCTGAAAAGCTACATATAACTTTTAATGCTCAAATTTAAGTACTAATAGTCACTAAGTGACCAAAACACTCAACAAAACTATAGTCAGTTTTCACATATGTTGTATATATTTTATAAGTTACGTTGTCACAATAAAGTTAATTAGAAAATTTTTTGAAAATGTTAATTTGGAAAATCATGAGAAAATTAACTTACAATGTTGTATTCTATTAATACCATGTTTAATGTGTCAACCAAAAAGCCCCAGTTTAAGTACAGCTCAAACCTGTGGTGTTCAGGGGTCAACTGTATTTTAAAGAATATTAGAGGCTAGGGACTGGAACGATAGCACAGCCGGTAGGGTATTTGCCTTGCAAGTGACCAATCCGGGTTCAATTCCCAGCATCCCATATGGTCCCCCAGCACCGCCAGAACTAATTCCTGAGTGCAGAGCTAGAAGGAACTCCTGTGCATTGCTGGGTATGACCCAAAAAGCGAAAAAAAAAAAAAAAAAAGGATAAAAAGAATATCAGAGGCCAAAGAGGCCAAATATTAGTACAGTAGATATGGCGGTTGCTTTGCATGCAGTCAACCCAGATTCAATCCCTGGCACCACATATGATCCCCAAAGCTCACCAAGAATAATCCCTGTGTGCAGAGCCAAGAGTAAGCCCTGAATCCCTTAATACCACTGGATATGCTCTCACTCCCCCCAAAATAACAATTAATATATACCACTCTCCACAGTGTACAGCTTTCAGTACTCCAACAGCAGCTGTAGTTTGTCGTTCAAAACCTTGTCCTATGTGATCTGCATGGGCTCTTGTCCTGTCTTCAAAGAGCATCTCACGAGGCTCACTAGTTCGAGGTAGGTACTGCAGGTTTTTTATTTCATTGGTAGTTCTGTTCAAAAAGAAATTCTATTGTTTTTTAAGATCTGAGTGAGAGAGCTGCCTAAATTATGACGAAAGTTTAAAGATTTCTTTTTTTAATTTTTATTAGTGAAACACCATGAGGTACAGTTGTAGACTTACAAATTTTTGTGCTTGGGTTTCAGTTGTGCAATAATCGAGTACCCATCCCTCCACCAGTGCCCATTTTCCACCACCACTGATCCCAGTATTCCTCCCACTCCCAACCCCCATCCCACCCTGCCTCTGTGGCGGGGCATTCCCTTTTGTTCTCTCTCTCCTTTTGGGTGCTGTGGTTTGCATTGAGTGGCAATCATGTTTGGTCTATAGTCTACTTTCAGCATGCATCTCCCATCCTGGGAGGATCCTCCCAACACTTTTATTTGGTGGTCCCTTCTCTATCTGAGCTGCCTTTTCAGTTTAAAGATTTTCAAATATTCATACTGATATAATAGGGCTTATGGGTCATCAAGCATTTAGTAACCACATAATTCAGAGGAAAGGAAATCTTAAGTCACCTGCTTCCAAATAATTTTATTTTTGCTGTTGGGGCCAAACCAGGTAGTATGTGAGGCTGGATCAATAGTACAGCAGACAGGGCATTTGCCTTGCATGCAGCCAACCAGGGTTTAATTACCAGCATTCCATGTGGTCTCCCAAGCACTGCCAGGAATAATCCGTCAGTGCAAAACCAGGAGTAACCCCTGAGCATTGACAGGTATGACATTCCTCCTCAAAAAAGAAAAAAAAAAGAGGAGGAAAAAAAAGAAACAGGGTAGTAGGTTCAGGACAGGATTGGAGAACCATATGGGGTGCTGGGATAGACCTGAGTTGGCTGCACACAAGGCAAGTGCCCTATCTGCTGTGCTATTGCTCTAGCACCATAAATTAAGTTATATTTTTAAAAGCACAAATAAAAACACAAATGCACATGCAGGCCAGAGAGAGAGGGTATTTGCCTTGCATGCAGCCAACTTTGGTCCAATCCCTAGTACCATTTATGGTCCCTCAAGCGCACCAGAAGTGACCCTGAGCACAGACCAGGAGTAAGCCCAGACAAAAAATAAAACAACAGCCAAACAAAACATGAAATCTCTTTTTCTAACACATTCTTTAGCAAAGTGGTAGTTTTAAGAAAATAGTTACTTGGGGAAGAAACTAAATTACAATTGGTATAATTTACCCAAGCCTTCCTATACTCATAATATTTACTTGAGGTTTGGGTCTAATTTGAACAGAACAATACCCCATTCACATAACATAGCTAACACAATGTAATATCTGGGACAAGTAACTTTGTTTTGGGGCCACACCTGGCACTACACTTAGGGATGACTGCTAGCAGACTCAGGGGACCATATACGGTTCTGAAGAATGAACGTAGGTCAACCATGTGAAAGTCAAGTGCCTTACCTGCTGTACTATGCACTATGGGCCCTGGAACAAGTGTTTTTTTAAAATGCATTTCACACACACACACACACACACACACACACACACACACACACACACCTATTATATGCCAAGTACTTTTTCTAGGTACTGGAAATAGTAAACAGAACACTAGTGATTACTAAGAAACTAGTTTCCAGGGCCAGGGATGTGGTTCAGTGGTAGAGAACATCCCTTGCATATGTGAGGCCCTAGGTTTGTGCCCTGGTACTGAAAAATAAATAAAATTTGCTCCCCATTCATGGAATTGATATTCTCATGAAAGAACAAAAGATGAATTAGAAAGAAAATATAAAACAACAAATGCCTCTGTAAATATGCACGATTTATTAGAAGTAGGAAAGAAAAATCTTAGTTTTGTTCCTAGAAGACAGTCATCTCTCATTGGTCATCTCTACTGTATCCATTAGTAGTCAGCAATTTGCTGACTACTTAGCCTTGGTCACTGTAGACTCCCTTCCCAATTTTGCTGTAGAAGGGAAAAGATGAAATTTTTTTCACTAGAGCCGTCATTTTATCTACCTGTTGTTTTTCTGTTCCTTCCAAAGACAAATCCTTAATTTTCCATCCTCATCCTAGTTTATCCCCTAGGATCACTTTCCTCTTAATTTCTCATTTCAATCTGTTACTTCCTACTCATTGTGTACCCCTGTATTATAATTATCACATGCACGCATACAAACATGTTTCTGTAACTTTTTTTTGTTCACTGTGATTAATGTCCTACAGGTATCAGAAAGCTAGATGATGATATTACTTCCTCTGGAAAGCTAACCAGCTCTCAAAATCATAGGTTTTGTCTCATTTAACTACATTCTAATTTAAAAAATATATACATTTAGCACAATCCTGGGGTAATGTTATTATTAGTTTGCCAGATTAACAATATGATAATGAAATGATCACACATACCGCTACATTATAAACCTTGAGGTAAAACCAAGTTTCTCAAGTAGCTAATGGACTTAGGGCTGGAGCAATGGCACAGTGGGATAGGACGTTTGCCTTCCACGCGGCCGACCCGGGTTAGATTCCCAGCATCCCGTATGGTCCCCTGAGCACTGTCAGGGGTAATTCCTGAGTGCAGAGACAGGAGTGACCCTGTACATTGCCGGGTATGACCCCAAAAGCAAAGAGGGAAAAAAGAAGCTAATGGACTTTCACGAATTACAAGTAAAAGTCTATCTGCATTGTTCAGGTTTGCCACATTCATAAAATTATTTATAAATACAAATTAATAATCAATGAGAGGAGCTACGGAAATAGCATTAGGATTAGGGGTTCGTGTTTCACACTCACAAATTCCCAGATTTAATCCCTGACATGGATGCCTCCCCCTGCACTGTTGGTAATGTACTGCTGGAGGCCCCTAGGCATTGGTAGGGTGATCCTGGTGTTCTCCACCAGCGCTAGGTCCACACAGTACTGTATGATTAGATTCAAACATTGAAGACACCTGACCCAGTTCATCAAATAATGCCAGGAGAGACCCCACTCCCTGAAGGCAAATCCCAATGGGACCCCAGGTCCTTTAAGCACTACCAGAAAGGGGGAGGAGGAGAAAGAACCACTTAATACAACAATTTTACCATTTATACTTTAACAAGTTGGGTTATAGTGTCACATTAAATTAACAAACACAACATAGATCATAAAAGCAAGCTAGTTTACTCAATGACTTTCTAAAATAAAATAATCACCATAACCAGTGAAACCTTTAGATCTTAAGTACCTTAAAAAAAAAAGTTATGTCACCATCTATCACCCACTCTATTCGCAAGAATATTAATCTAGTTTGTATTTTCCCCCACATTGTACTCATGATACAAATAACTCATTTAAATACTTCATATATTCTTTTTTTTTTCTTTTTGGATCACACCCAGCAATGCACAGGGGTTACTCCTGGCTCTGCACTCAGGAATCACTCTTGGCGGTGCTTGGGGGACCATGTGGGATGCTGAGTAGTGAACCCGGGTTGGCCGTGTGCAGGGCAAACACCCTCCCTGCTGTACTATCACTCCGGTCCCCTACTTCTTATATTCTTTAATAAAAATAAACAATTATTTTTTTCTCAGCACAAATAATGCTGCAGTTTACATTCTTACATTTTCCTTTAGTGTTTTTATTTGCTGAGGTAGATATTCAAAAGTAGGAGGGCTGAGTTCAAGTCATATGTATGCTAAATTTTAAGACCTACATTACTACTTTCACAAAATGATTATAGGAGTACCTCATCTTTTTACCAACATGTAAGGAAGGCCCTGCTTCCAATATATCTACTGGCTACTGTTGCTCTTTTACTTTGTCAATCTAATGGGTAAAAATAATAGTTCACAATACATTAGTAAACAATTTGATGCCTAGGACCTATGATCTTATTCATGTTTCAGTTATAAACTGTCATCCTTCTCCAATTTTATACACACACACACACACACACACACACACACAGAGTCATCCTCCAATTTTACACACACACACACACACACACACACAAGTAAAACACCTATCCAGCACTAAAAAATGTTTTGTTTGCAACCTACCTTTTCCTTTTGAAAGGTGACTTTGGCATATCAGCCACAGGGATCATTTGTTCTCCAGGACGCACCCACATAATGGGACCATCATCACTATCTTTTCGACATTCTAATTTTAGACTAGATAGTGTCCCCCATGGCAGTGTACACTAGAGACAGATAAAAATCAGTTACTTTTCAAATCTATCCCTAGACACACTTGTATATATACCTCACACTTACATTTTAAATATACACCTATGTTGACTATATTACCATATAAATTCTCAGATACTCATACATTTACTTTCAAAACACTCTTATCTTAAACACATTATTCTATTTTAAACACATTAAGAAAATAAGAAAATATTTCTAGATGTTTCTCCTCCCAAACCCTGTCAGAGAGATGATTCACTCTGTTAATCATGTTTGCTTTAATCATGAGAATCCCTGGGGGGGGGTGGGGGGGATGAATAATTAAAATACTCATTTATTATTTATATTCAAAACCCAACAACAAAAAAAGAAACTAAACCAAAATAAAAATGTATTCCTGTTCAGTAGTTTCTCTAGGTTGCGAGTCTAAAACCATAGACCAGGGCTAAAGAGACAGATTAAGATTCTTGCCTCACATGCAGCCAGGCACAGAGACAAGACTAAGCAATGACTTCCACCAGGTGTGGTCCCCATAGGGACACAGCCAAAGAACAGTGGGTCAGGCACTTGCCTTGCACATACCCAGCCTGGGTTTGATCCCCAGCACCCCATATTGTTCCCCAAGCATTTCCAGGAGTGCTCCTTGAGCACAGAGTCAGGAGTAAGCCCTGAGCAGCACCAGGTGTGCCGCCCCGAAAACAAAAAAGTACCGAAAGATGGTGGTGGGGAAAAAAAATTTTATTTACGGGGGTGGGGGATGAGGGAGAGAGAGAGATACAGAGACAGAGTCAAGTTAAATTTTGTCAGCTCATTGATCTAATTTTCAAATCACAATCTAGGATCAGGGAGATAGCTCAGAGGACCGGAGTGAGTGCCTATGTGGCAACCAGAGGCCCTGGGTTCTAGTTCCAAAACCACATGGTACTACCACAGGCCTGCACCACTGGGATGGCTCTTGGTGGCCTCTAGCACAGCTGGGCACAAGCACTTCGCAAGTGTCCCCAGACCCCATGACACCTGGTGGACAAATACTTTAGAGATACCTCCCCAACAAAAGTTAAATCACAATGTAGGCCAGGAATGTAGCTAAGCAATAGCAAACTTAGTGTAGCAGTGCTGCAAAAATAAATTTTTAATTAAATAAAATCACAGTATAAAATATATTCAAATTGTGATATTTTAAAAATAGCACAAACACCATAATATCACCAACTGGAAAAGACAGAAGAGGAACAAATGGTTTAAAGGGAATAAAAAGAGGCCTGGAGTGACAGCACACTGAACCCGAGTTTGATCCCAGGCACCCTATCTGGTCCCCTGAGTCTCAGTGATCCTTGAGCACAGAGCTAGGAGTTAAGCCCTGAGGTCTCCAGTGTGGTCCAAAAAACAAAAAAATCAAAAACCACAAAAAGGAATTAAAAGGTAGATGAGGGCCAAAGAGATACTTTGGTAGGCTAGAAGCTAGCCTTGCAGACTAGGCTGACCCAGATTCAGTCCCCAGTAGTTGAATGTACAGTAGGTGAATGTAGAGTCATTGAGCACCACTGGGTGTGGGGGCCCCTCCCTCACTTCTGTTAAAGGTAAATGAAAAGGGAATGGAATGAGACAAAAAGATACACACCTACAGATTAGAAAACCAAGTAAGCAATAGTAAACAAGGAAGCGATAATCAACAAATCATGTGAACATAAGAGATAATCAGATCTTGTTAACAATGACCTTTGAAATACTTATTAAATAATTAACTTCATAGCTCAGATATTTCTCTTTCAATGAGAGAGAAATAAGAACCCCCATCATTCCACATCAAGAAATATTTTCAGGAACACAAGGTAGGGTAGAGAGATGGAATCTTGCAAGAAGTCATTTAAAGAATTTAATGATCCTAAAATCCATATAGTCTAAAGGTCTTATTTTATAGATCACTCAGGACACTAAAGCCCACAAAGTTTAAATGCCTTGCTAGTTAAGGACTGAAATGTAGCTAGCATAATTTATCAGGCCAGTTTTCCTCAAAGCTAAACTGCTATTCCCTTGTAATGAAAAATCTTTCCTGCACTTCTTAAAACCTCTGGTATGTACTCTATCTAAACACTGAATAAGTGTTTCTTTGGTAATTTTATTATTTAACCTATTAATTGATACATTCTTTATGGAGTCATTGAAACATGTTCTAATAATTTATTTATAATAAGGAAAAGGAGGTGGTTCTATACTATTTATAGATTATTAAAGGCTCCTTAAACTCACAAAATACACGTTATTTTAACTTTTTGTTTGCTTTAATTATTCCCAACAGTCCTCAAAGCTGTCTTCTGGCCCTGTGCTCAGGAGTCACTCGAGTGGTACTCAAGGGACATTATGTGCTCAAGGGACCTTATGTACAACCAGGAGTCAGTTGTATGCAAGGCCAAGTGCCTTAACTACTGCATGATCTCTACAGCTAATTTTAACTTGTAAATAGGATTTTTTTTCCCCCTTTTCTTGGGGATTGGGGAGTGGCACATGGCTTGGGGCCACATCCTGTGGTACTCTGTGTTTACTCCTACTTCTATGCTTAGGGATCATTTCTGGCAGGGCTCAGGGGACCACATGGGAATGCTACATCCAATTTCGTTGTGTGAAAGGCAGGTTACCCATCTGCTGTGCTATCTCTCCGGCTCCTGAAGTTCGTTTTCTTTTCTTTTTCTTTTTTTTTTTGCTTTTTGGGTCACACCTGGTGATGCACAGGGTTACTCCTGGCTCTGCATTCAGGAATTACCCCTGGCGATGCTCAGGGATGCTGTGAATCAAACCCAGGTCGGCTGCATGCAAAGCAAATGCCCTACCCACTGTGCTATTGCTACAGCCCCTGAAGCCCATTTTCTTAACAAAGAATTCTCTTTTTCATAAAAAGTATTTTCAAAAACAATAGACATAGCTTTGAAACCTTGTATTAATCCAAATCAAGATTTTTATTAGTATTATTTTTTTTTTGAGTTTTTGGGTCATACCTAGCAATACTCAGGGGTTACTCTTGGCTCTGCACTTAGGAATCACTCCTGGCCATGTTTGGGGGACTGAATATGTGGGGGACCGAACTCAGGTCAGCAATGTGCAATGCAAATGCTCTACCCACTGTACTATTGATCCAGCCCTCCAAATTTAAGATTTTTGTAGAAGTGATACCTCATTGCATAAAGCTTGTGAGGTATCACAAAATAATGTGCTGTTAAAGCAAATAATCTTACCCCAGACTGCTTTACTTTCAAAAAATTGTGCAAAAAATTTTTAATCTTTCCTGCTGGATTTCAACTGTGTATGTTTCAAGATGCTATATTAACAGTAGCCATCATTCATATTATGTAGCTGACTGAGATCTGCTACCATTATATAATCAACAGAGGCAGAATCTAATTTTCCAAAGTAGCAGTGTGTCTAATGTTTTTTTTTTATCTACTATGCAGCTTTGTTATTATATTCAGCAAGTGAGAACTTATGCACTTATTACTTTTATGAGAGCAAAAAAGTATAGGGGGGGATTAAGGTGCTGGCTTTGCATGCCTTATCTGGTACCACTTGGTCCCTAAGCTCAAGCAGGAGTAACTCCCAAACACAGAGCTAAGAGTAGACCCCAAGGACTGCTAGGTATAGCCCAAATAAACACAGCCTCCAAAAAGTAATCTATGTTAGGGATTTGGGAGATAGCTCAGTAGTCAAGGATGAACGCCTTGTATCTAGTACCAAAATGTTTCCAAGTACCATCAGGCCTGAGCATTGAAATACTGATTCTGAGTATTGCCTAGACTCAGGCCCCTGGCACTGCTTGAAAATCCCTCCAAAAGTTCTACTTTCAGTTTCTTTACATTCCTTCCAATTTAAATGAAATTTTTTAAAATTTAAATGAAAATTTTTTAAATTCTCTAGTAGCCACAATTTGTATCACCTAGAATATTAAAGTAACACCACGATTTAGACTGCATGACAATTTTTTTCTTACTTTTAAAAATGGCGAATCTTCCAACATGTCAAGAAACTCAGGGAAGTAATCTCCCACTTCTTCATCAACTGCTCCCACCAAGCTGATTTGTCGCATTGGGCCAGCTCTGTAAGTACCATGAGAATATGTTCTTTTTACCTAAATGATATGGATTTAATTAAAAATTATACATAAGATAATGCCTGATATCACTATATAACATTAATATCAAAATATGTGCAAATAACGTTAGACTTAAAAAGGGTGCCTTTTACTAACCATGACTGCTTATGAAAACATAATTCTAGATAACTGATGAAAGTATTTCTTGTAAGACAGGGGTACATTATTTGATATATAATACTGCAAAAATTATATTCAAAAGATTATATATCTAAATTTTCCTAAAGGAAATGGGTCTTAATCTTATTTTTCAAATGCAAGACCTTCTAAAAAGGTTATATTTACCCACAACCAGCGGTTTGCAAGTCTATGAGGTCATAAGTAATATGGTCCTTCTAACCCTTAAAATATTAATTAGAATCTAGCTTCTATTTCTATGATTAACTTCGAAGAAAAACTACTTAAGAACCAGGGGCTTAAGAACCAGGAGTCCTAGATCCCAAATCTACCTTAATTAGTTTCCTTAACCAAAATGATTTACCTTTGATTGCTGAGGAAAATTAGGTAACTGTACTAACGTAATATGTTTGTAAATGAGTATCACTCAAATAGTAACCAAATTAAAACTGTTTACACCACAAGAATTGTTTGATACAACAATTTTTCACATTTTTGTTTAAATCCTTCAAGGAAACCTATGCCTTTTCATATATTAACACTGATAAGCAAGTCTTCTTCCTTTCTTCCTTCCAGAAACTTTGAGCAAATTACTAATATTTTTTTCCTTAGCAGTCTCTGTGTACACCAAATTGTTAAAGACCAAATGGTCTCAGTTCGTCTGGATCTATCCCAGTTTTAAAAATAAAGCCCAGTAAACCAGAAACTCCAGAGAGATCAACCTTTCATCACATCATGAAAACAGAATCTAAAAGATACAAAGGTATTCGCATCAAAAATCAAATCCTCATAATCACACTTGGTACAGATAGTATTTCAGTATAACAAAATATCTAAGCACTGGAGTCAGAGATATAGTACAAAAGGTAATGTACTTGCTTTGCAATGGGGGGGGGGGGGTTGGAAAAGAGGGTGGGGAAGTGGGGGAGGCAACTCAGGTCCATCTCTATATGGTCCTCTGAGCCCACTGGGAGTGATCCCTGAGCACAAAGCCAAAGCCAGTAGTAAGCCCTAAGCACAGCTGGAAACAAAAATGTCTAAGCACCTAATTATATATTTCCAAAAACAAAGCAATAAAAACTACATAACATAATCATTTGACTAATATTAGAAAGTGTTATTTGATTATCAGAATTAGTGAAAAAGTATAATGCTTATATACTAAATGCCTTAATAAATTTACTAGAATTATAAGCTTGTTACAAATTCACTTCTTAGAAACAAACATTCCTTCAATCCCCAAATTTACAAAAACATGTGAGAGTTCTTTTTGTACAGATAATCTGATCTTTTACTGTCTCCTTAAAGTAGTAACTATATTAACAGTTAAAATCTCTCTCTTCGAGGGGATCACTAAGTCAGTAATGTTTGGAGGAACGGTTTGGGATAGGAGATGTGTGTTGAAAGCAGATAAATGAATAAATGTGACAGCCTCTCAGTATCTATATTGCAAACCATAATGCCCCGAAGTAGAGAGAGAGTATGGGGGAAATTGTCTGCCATAGAGGCAGGGGGAGGGTTGGAAAGTAAGGGGTGATACCGGGGACATTGGTGGTGGAGAATCTGCACTGGTGGAGGGATGGGTGTTTGATCATTGTATGACTAAAACTCAAACATGAGAATTTTGTAACTGTATTAATGGTGATTCAATTAAAAAAAAATCTCTCTACAAGTCTTAAAGCTCAAGATAGTTGGACGCTCTGAATTCTACCCAAAAAAAGTCATCTCTGTATTATAGTCATGCAGTCTAATTCATAATCACTGTCACTGTCCTCCCGTTGTTCATCGATTTGCTCGAGTAAGGTCTCCATCGTAAGACTTTGTTGTTACTGTGTTTGGCATATCAAATACGTCACAGGTAGCTTGCCAGGCTTTGCCGTGCAGGCGAGATACTCTCCGTAGCTTGCCAGGCTCTCCAAGAGGGGTGGAGGAATCGAATTCGGGTTGGTCATGTTGGCTGCATGCAAGGCAAATGCCCTAACTGTTGTGCTATTGCTCCAGCCCAAATTCATAATAAATTACTAAATATTAATATAACACAGCATGTTCATTATTATTATTATTATTGGGCTAGAATGACAGCACAGCAGGCTGGGTGTTTGCCTTGCATGCAGCCTGCCTGGGTTCAATTCCTCAGTCTGTTTCGGAGAGCCCGGCAAGCTACGGAGATTATCTCGCCTGCACGGCAATCTCCCAGTGGCGTATTTGATAGGCCAAAAACAGTAACAAGTCTCCCAATGGAGACATTACTGGTGCCTGCTCGAGCAAATCGATGAACAATAGGAGGACAGTGCTACAATGCTTATTATTATTATTATTATTATTTTTATTTTTGCTTTTGGGCCACACCAGTTGTGCTCAGGGTTTCTCCTGGCTCTTTGCTCAAGGATAAATTCTAGTGTTGCTCAGGGAACTGTAGGTGGTGCCAGGAAGTCTAACCTGGGTCAACAACATGCAAGGCAAGCACCCTACCCACTGCAATAGCTTACAGACTCTAGATTTGATTCTGGCTACTTTTTGTTGTTTTGTTTCTGGGGTGAGGGTTGGCTATACCTGGCTATGCTCAAGAGTTGCTCATGACCGAGCTCAGAGATCACTCCCAGCAGAATTTGGGGGATCAAATGCAGTGCTAGGGACTGAAACTGGTTTTGCTGTATGCAAAGCAAGCACCTTACCTGCTGTTCTAGAGTTTGAGCTAATGGAAAATAAATTGTTTAAATTGTGTTTAAACCTGTCTTGTTCATTATTCATGTAATATTTTGTGAAAATATAACATGATTATAAAGTTTGCTTGCTACAAAAAGGAAAAAGTAGCTTTCCTAACTTAAAAAAATTCTACAACAAGGGATGAAATAATTTCTAAATATGGGGCTAAAGAGATAGTAGGGGGTTTAAAATGCCTACCAAATATGCAGCTGATCCCAGACCCCTGAGCCCGGTAAGGAGTGATTCCTGAGCAAAGAGCCAGGACTAAGAAATGAGCATGGCCAGGTACAGCTCCAAAATAAACAACAAAAACTATGAAATCACTGAAACAACTCATCAGTTCCTGAAATATGTCCCTTCATATCTCAGTCTCTAAAACAAAGGTTCATCACACACAAGTTGATTATTAAATTTTCTGAGAAATCTTACAACAAACTGAAGTACAGACTTTAACTTGCATTTGGCCAAACTGGGTTCAATCACCAGCAACCCATTTGGTTCCCAGAGCCCCATCCAGGAGTAGCCCCCAAAAGAAACAAATAAATGTTTGGCTCAGAATGTACTTGTTATTCTATTTTGACTTGAAAATATCTTCCAATAGTTGCAATTAGCAAGTCTATCAACATCACATTCTATCAAATAATACTTTAATAATGAATCACAAGACCTAAAAATATCTTAAGCTAGTGTCTGCATAAACATGATATAAATACAAAATTCGTACGTGCAAAAAAACTGAGGAGTTTGCAGCAGCCCCTGCCTGCACGCACCATTTAGCCAACAGAGAAATAGCCAAGCTCCACAGAAAGAACATGATGCTGTTGAATCTTTCCAGACTGATTTGGGCTGACAAATCTGGGCCCTTCTTGGAATGGGAGTGGGAAGATTCCCCTTCTGCCTGTAGGCGCTACAGCCCGCAGCCACATCCAAACACCCTCCACAAAGTAACGGACTAATTCCACAACTGAACCTCATTGAGCTGCCAAGCCACCAAATCATTCTGGCTCCAGGGCTCCTGGACCATAAGGTCACATACGTGGCGACTGAATACCTCCAAATGTCACTGTACTGACAGCCCAGTAGTATCATAGCAAATCTGATGGGAAAGTTAAGGAGAAGACCAACAAGCTCAATGGGCAAAAACAGTAACACTGAAAGCCCAACTTGGGGGCTGGAGTTAGTAGAGGGGATAAAATGTTTGCTTTGTATACAGCTGACCCAAGTTAAGATTCTCAGCATATGGGTGATCCCTGAGCACCCCTTGGTTCCTAAGTACACACTCGGGAATAACCCCTGAACATCACCGGGTATGAACCAAAAAGGGCCAAAATAAGTAAAATAAAATTTATAGAAAAGAAGGTTCAATTTGTACCAGCTACTGTAATGACAATAGTAACAATCATTATGATAACAACTATCACAAATTAACTTTTATTGATCAAAACTTTGATGATTCCATTTTCTTTTGTGTTGTAGCAAACAATATGAAGTGTATTTGCTAGTACCAGCTAAGGGAGGAGGGAAGGCTGGGGTGGCAGGTAGGAAACTGGGGACACTGGTGGAGACAGGATTGTGTTGGAACATTTAATGCCTGAAACCACTGTATTATGAACAATTTGGTAAATCAAGGTGTTATAATTTTTTTTCTTATAGTTGAGGGATATCTGTGGTCTTCTCAAGTTGGGGTGGGCAACCTCCCCCTTACCCCATACTTCCAGAAACCTTGGCAGCCACACCCACATCCCAGAGCTAGTCGTCATATAAAATCATCCAATAGCTCAGCTTTACAGATTCACAACCACATATCAAAAGAGACATAAGCCAAGCCACTAAAATTAATGGGTACACCAGTCTCCCAGTTGAAAACTGTGGTACCCTCAAGAGGGGACGTAGGCCATGTGCCCACCCTACAAAGCCCTGGCAGCACTGCACACACCGCCAAAAAAAAAAAAAAAAAGAGCGGATAAGAGCAGAAGCAGAAGAGGCTGTTGATTCCATTCTGTTGGTTTGGGTTGCAGGAAGGAAAGGGGAAAGACTTTTTAAGGACAGGACATGATCTGATCATCCCATTCACACTAACATAAAAAGTGAGCCACCAGGGGGAGCCATTTCCTATGACATCTGGCATATTCTTTTGAAAGCAAAATAAATATTTAATCTACATTTTATTTTTAAACTAGTCATATTTTAACAAAAAATTGAAAGCATTGTTGTAATTTTAAATTAACATTATAAACGGGAGACTTTCTCATGAGAGTACTTCATTCTGTTATTGTTTGTTTTGGTTTTGGGGTCATGCCCAGGGATGCTTAGGATAATTCCTGGCTCTGCAATCAGGTATTACTCCTCTTGATGTTCAAGAGACTATATGGGAGGCTGGGAATTAAACCCAGCTCGACTGTGCGCAAAGCAATTACCCTATCCCCTATCCACTGCACTACTCTTTGGCCCCAACAAGTATTCTTATCTACCATAATAATTTGTATTAAATTACTTCCTAAGCATTTAAGGAAAATATGTCAAGCACAACTGGTTAATCTGAAAAATTAACACAAAGGAACACAGTGGTTCAAAGATGGTACATCAGGGTTCAAGGGACAGCTCAGTGGCAAAAGCACCTTCAAGTGTGAGGCTGTGAGTTCAATCCCCTACACCATCCCAAGGTGCAGAATGCAGTCCCAGCAACTCTGTTGTTCATACAGCACAGCCATGTGTGCACCAAAACCAGGAGTGAAATCCCTAGCAAGAACATGGATGAGCATCACAACTCCTGGTGAGCACCACAATTAGAATATGTATGAGTACCGCAACTAAGAGAGTAATCTGTGACACCCCTCTCCACCACCAGACATCACAGCAACAAAAGGGAAGAGACAGAGAAGAACTAGTAAATATTTATATATAAATAGCACACCAATTAGCCTGACACAGTGAATGACCCCAACATGAACTCAGCACAGTTTCTGCCCTCATTCTGTGAGAGGCAAAGCTAACAGACCAGATGCTTATTTTATCGCTGTTTGATTAATATTAGACATTAGGCCAAAGTGACAGTACATCGGGTAGGGAGCTTGCCTGGCATGCAGCACTCAGGTTTGATCCCCTGCAACCCATATGGTCCCCGAGTGCAGAGCCAGAAGTAACCACTGAGGGCTGGAGCAATAGTACAGCGTTTGTCTTGTAGGTGGTCAACCCGGGTTCAATTCCCAGCCTCCCATATGGTCCCCTGAGCACTGCCAGGAGTAATTCCTGAGTGCAGAGCCAGGAGTAATCCCTGAGCATCGCCGGGTGTGAGCCAAAAAGCAAATCAGATAAAGAAGCAACCACTGAATATTGCCAGGCATGGCCCCAAATCAAAACAAAAAAATTAGACATTAATCACTGGTTAACATCCTTGGAGTGTTATCTAATATAAACAACTTAATAGAAACTAGGATAAAAAAAATTTAAAGCTCCATTTTGGTAATGGAACACTAGTACAGTGGGTAGGGCACGTGCCTTACATGCCAGTGACCTGGGTTCAGTTCCTAGCAACCCCTGTAAGTCCCCCAAGTGCTGTCAAAGGTGATCCCTGAGTAGAGCCAGGAATAAGCCCTGAGCTCAGGGGGTGTAGCCCAAAATGAAAAAAATAAAAAAGGGTGGTGCACCACTAAGGTTTAGCATTTGGGGGAGAGGAAAGAGCTGTCAGAAAACAACTGCTCAAATTTTCATGTCCTCACAACTCTCTAGTGCTGTGTGTTTGATTCTTAAATACTGAAAGACAAGAGTGTAAATTTATTTATTGTTTAGTACCTAAAACTCCTGTCTTACCTGTCTTTTAGTTCCCTTTAAATACGGGAGACCAGGGTCCAGGGGAATGGCTCAGCAGGAGAGCACATGCCTCAAATATGAGAAGCCCTACATTCGATCCCTGGAGAAAATGGGAAAAGTGGGAAAAGGGGAAGGAGAAGGTGGGACCAACAAAGGCACAAAACAATAAATTGGGGGTGAGGGTGATCCGTGCCTGGTTGTGCTCAGGGCTTACTTCTGGCTCTGTGCTTCAAAATTATTCCTGGTGAGGTCCAGATGATTATATGCGGTGCAGGATATTAAAGTGCTGTAACTCCTGTACTATCTCTCTAGTCCTTGAACAATACATTTCTACATGAACACTTGAACAAATTTGGTATATTAAATAAAAAAACAAGACAGGTGCCAGAGCAATAGCACAGCAAGAAAGGCAATTGTCTTGCATGCAGCTAACCCAAGTTCAATCCCCAGCACTCCATATGGTCTAAGTGCCACCAGAGTGATCCCTGAACAGTCTGGAGTAAGCCCTGAGCACTATCAGGTGTGGCCCAAACAACCCCAGAATAAACTCTGTATAAATACCTTAACAATATCATTTCCTGGAGAGAAAGCACCAGGTTGAAAAAAAGCTATAATAGGGAGAGCCCCAAAAATTAGAAACAGAACTAAGCTACAATAAGTATGTTCACTTGCCTTGTCTCTTTTAGAATTCATTCAACTTCAAAAAGCAGTCACAGTAGGACAAACCAAGGTTACCAAGGCAATTTTCCCATTCACAGAAAACAAAAAAAGTTTTCATTTTTGGTTTCATTGAACAAGTTCTTAAAGAGGGGCTTGAGTGAAAGCACAGCAGATAGGGTGTTAGTTAGCCTTGCGTGTGGTCGACCCAGGTTCGATTCCCAGCATCCCAAATGGTCCCCTGAGCACCACCAGGAGTAATTCCAGAGTGCAGAGCCAGGTGTGACCCAAAAAGCAAAAAATAAATAAAATTAAAAAGTTCTTAAAGAGCTAGAGCGATAGTACAGTGGGTAGGGCACTTGCCTTGCATGTGACCAACCAGGGTTCAATTCCTGGCATCCCATATGGTCTCTGGAGCCTCACCAGGAATGATCCCTGAGTACAGGCCTGAGTAAGCCCTGAGCACTACTAGGTAAGATATATAAAAAATAAATAAATAAAACAAAAGTGCTCTTTAAAAAAAAAAAAGGCGGCCCAGTAATAGTACAGAGGGAAAGGCGTTTTCCTTGCATGCACCTGACAAGAGTTCGATCCCTGACAACCTGTATGATCCCTGAGTATAGAACTGGAGTAAGGCGTGGGTACAGCTGGATGTACTCCTTCACCAGAAAAAAAAATTATTTCACTGGGGGGTCAGTGAAATAATACAGCAGATAAGGTGTTTGCCTCCAATGTAGCCGAACCAGGTTTGACCCCTGACTAAGGACAGTCAGGAGTGATACCTGAACACAGAAGTACAGAGACAGATACAGTAAGCCCTGGGCACCCCAGGTGTGGTCCAATAACAACAAATTCAATAGATCCTAAGCTCTTTTTACCAAAAAAAAGTGAAGCCCAGGGATTGTTCAGTGGTAAAGCATCTGCCTCACAAGTGTGAGGCTTCAGGTATGATTCCTGTCATTGCCCCACACTTGCCATGTGTGATCCTTAAGGCACTGCATTTTGGGATTACTGACAAGAAAACTGTGAGACCACTGCAATTAAGGTATGTGGTAACTAAAGCCAAGTGTGCAACTTCTGTGAACGTATGTGTGAGCAAAACAACCGTGTAACTTCAAGTCATCACAACAACAAAGAATATAGGAACATACACCTTGCACAGGCACCTTCCAGCCTTTAAGTCTAAAGCTGAAGAAGCAAAAATAGTCCCTCCAGCTGATAAGTCATACAGATATGGGGTCAGAATTACAGCTGGGAAAAAAAAAAAAGAGATGTGTGTTGGTTCCCTCTGAGCACTATTTATCAAAGAATCCCACAGAGATGATGGCCATCAGAGGAGGTGGGTTTGTGAAAATTTCCATGCTAACCATTTTTAGGCATTTTTAGGCATTATCCCATAAAGCAAGAAGATAATTTTAGGCAAGAGAACTGCTTTTAAAAACTAGAAAATGTAACGTTAAGTTCATGTAAGTTCAAGGAAAATTCTTACCCTCACCCCAAAATGCAGAATTTAAATTTCATTAAGAAAAAAAAAAACAGATAAACAGAAACTGAGTAAAATGCAATGTTCACATCAGAAGAAGTAATTTGGTCTTAATACTCCCCCAAAGTTTTATTGTATTCTTACCTTTAATTTCAGACCTACAGCAAAATGAGGAACAAAGAAGAGAAAGTTGTCTAAAAATATAATTAAAAGTTATTTTAATAAAAACTAAAAGCCTCTTACCTGAGCATGAAAATTGGACATAGTTGTAGTCTCTATATCCTTCTTTCCCAATATCTCCATTTTCACTGGTGAATTGGGAAAATTAAATGAAAAGTAGTCTAAAAAGTCAGGTAAGTAAGTAGCTGCCCCATGAACAATACCCATTACATAGAAAGCTGCAGAGTTTTCATTCTCACTGAATACTAGACCCACAAACTCTTCTGCAAACCTCTCCATCTCCACAGGAGACAGGTTGGAGAGTTCATTGCTGTAGGCGTGGATAACTGATGCCCCTCCATTAGGCTGGTGCTCAATATGAATGAGCTGTTTGAACTTCAAAGTGTCCAACCTTCTGAGGTTATTCTGAACCCGTGGCTCTTTCAATGAGACAAACGGAAAATCACTGTTCTCAGGAATTTTGGAATCATAGTTCTTGTTATCCAGAGTCTTTCCAATGTAATCCTTTATGTTATCATTTAGGATGCCTTTGGCCTCTTGATCTTCAACATCAGATAGCAATCCTGAGCAGATGGTTTGGATAGATTTGCTATACATTTTTGGACGCTTCCGTTTTTCATTCTCTTTATGTTTCTTTTTCTTTTTCTTCTTAACCTTTTTAATTTGTAAGTCTTCTACATTTGTTTTTTGTTTCTCCTTCCCACCTGTTGGGAAAAATGTTTTTTGAAACTCTGTATTTGAGTTACTTTAAAAGACCATGCTTTAGGAACTGTTTTATAATAAATAAATAAAGTTTACCCAGAATTAGGCTTAGGTGTGGGACTCATTATATGCAGCATGCATTCATGATTTGTAAGACATAATTTGGTCAGTTTCTATTTCTATACACAAACATATCACCCCCCCAATGATTATGTATGACAAAATTACATCTCTAATATATATTCCTACAATCTGAGATGTTGGCAGTTATTCAATCAGAAGGAAATGAATGAATATGTTTAGAAAGCAGAATCTTCAAGTTTTAAATTCAGAAATAAAAAGTTGAATAAAAGTCTGTGTGAACAGTACCCTCAAGTTACTTTCATTAATGTATCATCATACTTTATCTACAATTGTAGAAACTGCATCTAAGTGTCAAGATTTTTACACCAGAAAGGAAAAGAAAAATACACAAACAGTGTAACAGCAACAAACACAGTAATTCCTTCTGTAACCTCTTGAAGCTCTTCCTTACTAAGCTACACTTGCTAAAATGAGCTATTTTGGGTCCAGTGAGAAAAAAGCTACAGTGAAGACTCAATAAAGGATTATAAAGGAGATGATAAAATTTGGATCTGGCTAGCGAGCTCAGTAGGATGAACACATGAGCTGCATACAGGCGGCCCAAATCAATTCTTAGTTCCTCTCTTCCTCTTGCTCTCTCTAACTCCAAATAATATCTCTATCTAAGTCTGTGTCCCTGAGGCCCTCGGTTCAATCCCTAACACCATCGGACCCACTGCACACCCAACACCCTTGGCTATGTCAGATGTAGTCCTGAGGTACCCAAATACTGGCAGATCCTGAGAACCAATGGGATGACCTCCCTGAAAAAAAAGGATTAAAAAAAATTATGAGGCATTCACTTATCTATTAATGAGCTCCTATAATGGCAAGTAGATCCTAGACTGAGAAATCTAGAAATTCAAAGAAAAAAAGATTAATACACAGCAGTTACACACCTACAGTTTTAAGGCACATATAAACCCTTGACATAACTGTATTATTTCTTTAAAATTAAAAAAAAATGGAACCAGGAAGAAAGCCCAAAGGGCTACTTGTATTATGTTTTGTCTGCCAGAGGTTCAAGTTTCCTCTCCAGCACCACAAGGTCTCAGCACTGCCAAGCCAAATCCCTGAGCACCGCCAGGTGTATATAAACTTCCCTTGAGACCCCCACAAAAAAAGTCAACAGAAAAAAAGTTAATATTCTCAATAGAAAAGAATGCTTTCTAAGGTATTTTAAAAAGCCATTAAGCCATTTGAGAAAAGGCAGTCAATGTTCCATCTGTCACTTTTATACTCTATCATGACTGAAATCCTGTGTACCATTGGGGGTGGCCCCAAAAACACAGTGTAAGGTTATGGGAGCCCTACCTCCAGAGAGATAACACAGTAGGCCCCAGACACACACACATACTGAACACAGAAGACATGCTCAAGTACAGAGAGCTAGAAAAAGGCTCAGACACAGAACCAGATACAAACACAGCAAAAAGACCTAGAAAAAACTCAACACAAATATAAAAACAGCATGTGTTGTTATGACTAATTACAAAAGGAAAAAAAAAAGTAGTAACTTAAAAAAAAATCACACGCTTGCTCTTCAAGCTCATATTCTCCCTTGAACACGTACCTTGCTTGCTCCTTTTTCTGTTTCTTTGCTTGTTTATTTCCACCCTGGAGAAGCTTGTGTTCTTTCTAGAACATGTACTTCTCTCTTTCTCTCCCTTCACATCTAAGTAAATTTCAATAAAAATTACCTTGTTTCAGCAAAATAAACAAATAAATATCAAAAACTCAATAGCACATGGTCAACCCCAATTCAATTCACAGCACTGCACATGGAATCCCAAGCACTGCCAGGAGTGGTCCCTGAACAAAAAGTGATAAGCCCTGAGCACTGCCAGCTGTGGCCCAGCACCCACACCCTCTAATCATCAAACAGCGAGTAAGGTGCTTGCCTTGCAGGAGGAGGACATAGGTTCAATCTTCCACATTCCTAAGTCCTCCGAAGCCTGCCAGGAATGTTTCCTGAGGGCATTGCCAGAAAGTCTCTGGCCACTGCTGGATGTGCCTCCCCCCACAGAAAAGGGAGTGGGGAATAGTACTTCCCAGAAAAACTGGATCAGAGTTTTAAATACATATGTCATAATCTTGGGGGTGGGGGCTGGGTATATTTTAGCTATGATTTTTACTGCCTTTGGTCTTTAGAAAATAACTATGTGTAAGGGTATGTGTATGTGTGAGGGTGTTTACGGCAATATTTTCAATTTTCCTGTATCAGTTTATCCTCCTGTGATCTTTCATACCCTACCAAAATCTCGGACAGTGCTTTCTCTCACTTACCAAAATATATTAAAATGATACATTATTTTATTCCCCCAAATACTGCAACCATCACATCTATATTCTTACAACACATAAACAACAAAGGTGGCTAGAACATAACATAGAAATACGCTTAGAATAAGTAGTTGTTAGACATTAGATACAAAGAGAATGAGAGCTAAATAATTTTTTAAGAAAACTTTCCCATAAAGTAATTTTTGTCAGTAAAAAATGTTTATAAGATCTCTATGTATAACTGTATACATGCATATATCTACACCAATATACAGATATATTAAACTTGACATAGCTTTTACTAAAAACCTAGAGGAGAATGAAGTAGAGTAAAAGTATCTTTTGTTTTCAAAAAGTTAACATCTATTTTATTTATTTATTGCTTTTTTGGGTCACACCTGGCGATGCTCAGAGGACCATAAGGGATGCTGGGAATTGAACCCGGGTCGGCCACGTGGAAACAAATGCCCTACCCGCTGTGCTATCACTCCAGCCCCTAACATCTATTTTAAATTCTGAAATGCTATCATTAATCAATGCCCATGTATGACAGAGCATGCAACAGTATTATCAGAAGGAGAAAATTATATGCAGAAAATAAACATGAAATCCAGAAAGGAAAGAGGAAAATAGAGTAGCAAACAATATACTATCCCCACCAAATATATTTCATTATTGCTCCAAGAAACCATTTAAAAAAAAAAAAAAGCAGCAGCAGCAGCCTTTTCCTTTTCACTGACTCACTTGGGAATCTGCCACATAAGCAGGGCTTTTATAATATTTTTTTCCCAACAGCTAATTCTCAATGCTTACAATGGGCTAGGTATGTTTTCCCAAATGAGGGGCTGGAGCGATAGTAGAGCGGGTAGGGTGTTTGCTTTGCCAACCAGGTTTGATCCCCAGCATCCCGTATGGGTCCCCAAGCACAGTCCTGAGTAATTCCTGAGTGCAGAAACAGCAGTAACCCGAGCAATGCTGGGTGTGACTAAAAAGAAAACAAATCAACAACAAAAAAAATCCCACAAAAAACCCTTTTTCCCAAGTGAACTATGTTTTATTAATATCATTATCTCTACCGATTGAGGAATCAGCTTTGTTACTTTTCCCTTTTTTAATCAAAAGCTAGTATTATATACACACTTACAAGATAATATTCATTTACTGAGTAAACATGGCCAGACACTGTGCATGACACTTCCCCCATACTTTACCTCAGTAAATCTTCACAATCCTGTAAAGCACCGATTAATTTATTACTATCTCCATTTTTCAGTAAATACATTTTCCGTGGTTATACCAGTGGTCATCAATTCCTTTCCAAATGTATCTCATTTCCGCACCCCCACTCTTTATCATTACAAAAATTCAGTTTAAAAGTTATTGCTTCTCTGGAGCTGGAGCAACAGTATAGCACATAGGGTGTTTGCCATGCACACAGGCAAGTGGGTTTTGATCCTGCATCCCAGATGGTCTCCAGAACCCTACCACAATTAATATCTGATGGCAAACCCAGGAGTAAGTCCTCAGCACCACTGAGTGTGACCCCAAAACCAAACTCAAACCAAATAAAACACCCTCCTTTACCTGACTATTTCAAAATCAAGGTTCCTGTTTCATATTTCTCGTTAATCTCCATTTTAGGCTATCTTAAACTTTTCTTGCATATTTAAGCTCTATATCCACCTATTTCACATTAACAGTAAGTTAAAAATCTAGTGTTTCAGCTGAGTAACAGGAAATTACATTAGTATGTATTAGAATGCATTATAATAAATGACTGACTAGCCACTTCCACCCCCACACCACCCCCAAAAGGTTGTGAGGGCAAAGAGGTAACTCAATAGGCAGTGTGCATGCTTTGCATGCAGAAGGCCTGAATTCAATCCCAGGCACTGCTAGGAATGACTTCCTGAGCAACCGCCAGAGCCATAAGCAGTTCCATGGGTACTGGTGCCCTCAACTAACCACCTGATTAAAAAAAATGGGGGGAAGGCCATTTAACTAAACAAATATGGCAGAGTTCGGTAAACATTTCAAGCATTACTAATTCGCTGCTATATATAGTGTGATTCAATTAGATTCCTGCCTCAATGACTTATAATCTAATTAGATGACACAGAACAAATACTGTCCAAAAAAGAACATAAATTGTAAGTACTAAACAGGCAAGTTTAGGCTCTGACCTATTTCTTTCAAGGTACAAAGAATTTCCTTGAAAATAAAATTTTGATCATTGTAAAAGAGAACTTAAACATTTGCAAACATAACAAAGAAAGCAATGACTGTGCTTCATACTTTTTATTTTTAAATAATATGTCAATCAGTTACTCTGTAGTACATGCTATGTTATAGTCTTTTCTTCTTATACAGACATAAAGGTTTATCAACTAATGATTTCAATATAAAATTAAAGCCAATGTATTTAGATCCACAATCTGTCAACTTTCTAAGGTAGCTAATTTACTAGCTGTCCAACAAATACTCTTACCCTGCTTCTCAGAGTGAATTTAAGACTGTCCTTAATTTTATTCTGCCACAAAATGTCTAGGGAAAAGTTCAAATATATTATTATCCAACCACCTATACCCCAAATTATCCTTACAAGTCCACCAATCTAGTATAAACAGCAACAGAAAACAATTTTAACAATACAAAAGAGAAAACTGAAAAAGGAAATAGAATGTTCTGAAACATGTAAGAAACATAAAGCAAAACAGTATTCCTTCTCATCTGGCTCAAAATAAAATGTTACTATAAACCATATAGCAATTGCCTTCAAATATTTGAGAGCACTTCCTCCACTATCCCAAACAAGATGAAAGGTACTTTAGCCTTTATCTGAGATTAACTAAATATGGATTAAAGACTAGTGTTATAAACACATTAATTAGATAACCTGTTTATAAATAACTTAATCACTTAATGAAGTTTAACCTTTCCTACTGTATTATGACTCACTGTAGAAATGCTGAAGATTAGAACTTTCTGCTATTACATTCTCTTTTTATAATCTATTGATGTTTGGCAAAATACAGCACCAACAAAAATTTGTTGTTTTAAGCCATTAAGTATCGCTGAACAATATAAAACATTACAACTAAAATCACCAAAGACAAACTTACTTTTCAGCAAAATCTTTACTTCCCCATTCTCTTTCTTGATCTCATTCATTACTTTATGCTTCTTTTTCTCTCTCTCTTTTTCTTTATCTCTCTCTTTAATTTTATCTTTGATTTTATCTGTAAGACAAAAATTAGTATTTTAAACCATTTACAATTTTATTTTTCTCCATTAAACAGTATAATCTCTAGAATTACAATAACACTAAGAAAAGCTGAATGGAACAAAAGCATGTCTTTTTGTCATCTCAAATTTTTTTTTTTCAATTTAGTGGGGTATACCAAGCAGGGCTTCTCCTGAATCTATGCTCAGGGAATACACTTGTTGGGGTTCATGGGTTCAGATGCAGGTTCAAATCCAGTTCGGTAACATGCCAGGCAAGTGTCTTTAACCCTAGTACTATATCTCTCTGGCCCATCAACTTTTCCTTTTTTTTTTTTTTTTTTTTAGTGAAGCAAGATTCTTTACTGAATAAAATTTCAACATGGAGAGAGAAAAAGAGAAGAATACATGTTGAAGTGAGAACACAGGCTTCTCAAGTGGAAAAAGCAGAGGAAGAGAGATTTGTGTTCATGGGAGAACATAGGCGTGAAAGAGCAAGCCAGCCCATCAACTTTAGGGAAATACTTCTAAAAATCCTTTTATGTATTAGACATATAACATACATGACATGAACTGCCAAAGGCTATCATTATATATTCTGTTCTAAAGATTATTCTTTTGCATCCTATCAACTAATATCATATTACCTCAAATGACCTAAAAACACTAAAATCAAACCAGTAAATTATAACAGGGAAAGTACCTTCTTTGAAATGGGTTATATCTGGACTAATGACATCTCACTGGAAAAATTATTCAATTTCCAAATACTGGTGGTTGATAGCTTTCTCATAGATTACTACTAAGAACTAAATGAAGAAAGGTATAAAATGTCTACTCAGAGTGTGATTTCTGTTAATGTTAATTCCCTTACATTTACACTGTTTGAAAAAGATACCACTGATGTGACTATCTAAAGATACTGTAACATTAAAATAAAGTGCATGGGACCAGAAAGATAGTACAGTGGGTAGGCCACTTGCCTTGCACATGGCCAACTCAAGTTCAATCCCCAACATCCTGTATGATCTCCAAGTCCACCAGCAGTGATCTCTGAGCACAGAGCTGGAGTAAAACTGAAGCACAGAAGGATGTACCCAAAACCAAACATACAATCTAATTAAATAAAACACAAGGCACAAAAACTCTAGGGCAGATTTATCTGAATTCGAAACTGTATTTTCCAGTTTTCAAAATTATTTAATGTCCTATTTTTGTTTGTCCAACCAAATTATTATGCAGCCAGCAACATAAGATGTAAAGAAGAATTTTAAAACAATAAAATACTACTTGCCCTTAAAAAGCTCATTATAAATTACCTATTTCATATACCAGCAATTCTGGGGTAACATAACATCTCAGGTGATGGGAACAGAGTGACACTATAAAGATAAGGTCTTGGCTGACAGGGCTGCAGCCACAACCCTGATTAGAATCCAGGTACCACATATTGTACCCTAAGCACTGAGTACCACTGGGTGTGGCCTGGAAGACAGACAAAGTCTCTGGTAAGAAGTCACAAGTTAAGAAGCTCTGGTCTAGAATACTTAAGCAGATAATTCCCCAAAATTAAATCTCTGTGCTTAATATACATATTAAACTTTTTATCATTAATAACAAGAATACAAATTCAGGACCAGAGAGACAGTATAGGCATTAAGGCACCTGCCCTGCGTCAGTTCAATCCCAGAACTACATGTGGTCAGAGTAGTAAGTAGCCGCAGGCATAGTGGGGCGATACCCACCCACCCCCAAATGCAAATTCAAACATTTTCACCTATCAAACTGAAAAAGTACTTTTTTAAAAATGCCAATACTCAGATCAGCCAATAGGACAAAAGATTTAAATCAAATCAGAAGAACTCGTTGCATTTCAGAACAGTTTACTACTCTTCTCTATATTTTAAGTACATAAAATCATCTAATGGCTAATACGTTACCCGACATTGCAGGAATTTAGGTACATATATAAGCTGGTATTTCCAAAGTATGTATTTTTATAAAAAAAAATCGTTTAAAAGCACAAAACAGTCACCTAAAATGTCTCAGCATTTCTCTTACAATTACCCTTATTCACTAACCTAAGTGCTAATTTAATTGCCATTAAACTTTTACAACATTGTTAAACCAAAATTTACATTAGAAAAATTAACTTGTAAGTATATGACTCAGTTTTTGCAAAAACAGACAGCAGCTATATATTCCCATCCAGTGCTATGTAGCATAAACCACAACAATAAAACTTTAGTGCTCATATAAAAATAAATATTATATAAACCAATTAACATCACAAAACATAATCATTTTCAGACTAATAGTGCAAGTTACTAAAAACATTTTGTTTTGTTTTGTTTAGGGGCCATACCTGGTGCTACACATGAAACAGTTCTCAGGGGCTATACTCCCAATAGTACTCATGGGACCATGCAGTGCCAGAGATTAAACCCAGGGTCCTACATGCATCCAGTCCTTTGGCTATCTTCCTGGATACTAAAAAACTTTTTTACATTGTACCAGATAATCAAATTCAAGGCTTCACACAGGTAAGGCATACCCTTACAACTAACTGCAGTCAACGTCATAATTTTTAAGTGACAAAAAGTTCCTAAGTTTTTGCAATAAAAGCTTATTAATTTCATAACCCAAAAAGAGAGTAACAGGAGTTTGCCTTAGGTAAGATATCAAATATTTCATGTAAAAGTAAACAGAAGGCATAGACATTTTAAGAAAAATATCTGTAGAAATAAAAACAATAGCATTAGAGGTAATAAGGAGAGAGAGTGACAACATAATTGCAATTACCTCCCACCTCATACTTAAAACCTCCTAGACAAAAAGCCAGATTCTCAGCAAAGACAATTCATTCTACATATAGTAGAAAAAGCATTTTCCCCATTCCCTTCCCTTTGATGTTGCAATGAACAGAGCTCACACTCACTTCAATGTAGTACTTAAACAGTTTATTTTAATGCGCTTATTTTATTCATTTATTTTGATTTTTGCGTCACACACTGCGATGCTCAGAGGTTACTCCTGACTCTGCACTCAAGAATTGCTCCTGGTGGTGCTTGGGGGACCATATGGTGTTGGATAACACTGGGTTGCCCTTGCTCCTCCTGCAGGGAGCTTAGGCTTATTGAGTTACTCCCACAACAGTGCCCTCGGTCACGGTCACGGTCCTCCCGTTGTTCTTCGATTTGCTCGAGCAGGCCCAGTAACGTCTCCATCGTGAGTCTAGTTGTTCCTGTGTTTTGGCATATCGAATACATCACGGGTAGCTTGCCAGGCTCTGCTGTGCAGGTGAGATACTCTCGGTAGCTTGCCGGTCTCTCCGAGAGGGGCGGAGGAATCGAACTCGGGTCGGCCATATTCGCTGCGTGCAAGGCAAATGCCCTACCACTGTGCTATCGCTCCAGCCCACAGTGCCCTCGAGGCACACAATTCCATCAAGCACTAATAATTCTATATTGCTTTTCTCTTTCCTTTATGTAACCTGCATGGTTTAGCAATGTCCTTTTTGTATAGACACAGGAAGACAGTTCATGGTATGCTTTGTACCATGGAAGTTTATTGACTCCAAAATATTTACTCCTGGGCATCCATATTTTCTTGACTTAAGCCTCAGGTGCCCTTAGTTCCTAGCACTCCAAAAGCAGGTTCCGATGAAGGCACTGGATGGACCCAGAGCAAGTTGTAAACTACCCTGGCATCGAGAGAGGACAAGCTAAGCACCATAAGTGAAAAGCACGGTCATGGAACAAACTGTCATGACCCAAAAAGAAGTAACTGAATAAGGACCCTGCTGGGATTAGGAAAAATTAACCTGGTCTGAGGACTGTAGTCTGGGATATATAGGGACATGTCCCCAGGAAGAGCCAACCTTTAAGATTGATAGATCTCTTCCTGTGTTCATGCAAAATGACTAGAAATATTATAACAAGTAAATTCACTATGATTGTTTAAATGGATTACTAGCTGAGGAAAGGAGAAAGCAATACACCATAGGTGGAATCCTGCCCTTGAATGGATCTCCTAGTAATCTGGAGTGTTGAACCCTTAGATGAAATTTTGTCCTTCAGTTAATCTCCTAGAATTTCCCCTAAAGAAGTGGTTTTACCTTTGTTGTTATGACAATGTTCACCCCCATCTATGTGTACCCCCACTCTTCATGATTTTTATATAACTACACTGTAAGGGGTAAAAGGAGTAGAGGACTTTGAGGTCTACAAGGACATAGAAAGATTAGACTAGAAGAGGACTAGGAGGAGCCGAGGATGATGGAACTATGATGACTGGGACTACAATCAAAACTACAACTACAGTAAGGGGAGAGATTGAACTATGCTGGGGAGGAGAGAGAAATACACTGACTACCAACCAGCCTGGGGCCCTATTCCTGTTTCTCTATTCCCCAGTCCTTCATCCATCAGTGGCTATGGACCGGCCAGGGGAATGGTTCTTAGTCATGGAACACTGAGTCCCATGTGCCCCTGCACCGTTCTCTTGAAACTCACAGCTGGCGTCCCTGTGCGTGGGGCCTGAACCACCAACTGGTGGGCAACTAAAGGTAAGGACTACGTCAGTGGACCCTCACTAACAAAGGTGAGTAGGAGAACAAATGTTCTGGTTACTGGGAACTTAAAAGTCAGAGTTGTATACCCCACTCAGGAGAGTGGGATAGTAGATTTTTCAGAATGCTGGGAGTTACCCCCTGCCCCCATTAAAATGGGACAGAATTTGGGCCTCCCCAGGTTCTTCTAGTGTTTCTCAAGTGTGTGGGCCCAAAAAGAGGGGGGCTGGGGGGAATATCAAAATTACCCTGATTCCCTGGTGGAAAAACAAGACACAGGAGCTGGGATTGGTTGCTGGAACATAATAATTCTAAAACCAAAATACGAATAACTTTGTAAATCATGGTGCTCTAATATTAAACACACACAAATTTCACTGGCGGTACTTCGAAAAAATTGGTAGAATTTCATGCCAAAGCTTAGGGTTAAATTACATTTTCTTACCA